AGAGCCTGACAGTTGAGCTGCTCTTTGGGGTGCAAGGAGGCAATTCAGACATCTATGTGAGCAGCCAGCCTACAGAGGCCCTCTTCACCCCAAGCACAATGTGGCCTGAGACCCACGCCGTGGCAGAGATGAAGTTCTTCAGCCACATTGCCAATCAGGCTCCACGTGACAGCCGGCACCTCAAATGCCTGCAGCTCTTGGCCCATGTTCTGGTGGGCATAGGCTTCTCCAGTTATACCCTGAAGACCATTGTGATGCCCCTCCTGAACACCATACCCGTGTCACGGTGGGGCACGAGGCAAGTCCTGCGGCAGCTGGGGGATACCATGCAGTACCTGCGCGGCTCCCTGGAGGAGAAATGTCTTGACCACTTTGTTGTGGGTAACCGGACATTTCCTCAGGAGATTCTCTTGCCCCCGGATGTCAAAACCGCCGAGCCACCCAACCTCTTCCATCGCCTGGCGCAGGATCCGGCCGCCCACACCCAGGCTATGATGGAGTACCAAGAACTCAGAGATCGGATCGAAAGAATTGTCCTCTACGGCCACTGAAAGAGGTCTTCACCTAGAGAGCTGTGCTTGTGGGGCAAGACACCCAGGATTGTGAATAAAGTAATGCCTTGCTTTCTAACAGTAAAAATGCAGTGTTAGAGGTTTTTATTGTCCCATGGATTTTGGAGGATTTTTGGTGACTTTTGTGCAAGTCTGATGAGAAGCGCCTGGGATAACTGGATGTGTTTAGCATGAGGAAAAAGGAGACTTAGGGGGGACCTAATGGACCTCTAATAATAATAATGGCCCATCTTCGTGAACGAAGATTTGGGGAAAGGTCTTTTACCTTTCCAGCCTGCGCAATGGATTTTTTAGGTGAGACACAGCCTGCGCTGAACTGAGCCCACCCTTTAATCCTAAGGTTCATCTGCCGGGGCCAAGCAAGCTTGGACAATGGCAGTGAGGTCCTCAGGACGTAGGTTTGTTTAGAGTATCCTTCTCATAGATGGATGGCCTCACAGGGCTAACGGGTTCCATCTGCCCGGGAGGGACTGGGAATCGAACCCGTGGTCGCAGCAGTGAAAGTCCTGCACGCTAACCACGGACCTCTACAACCCCCAGAAAAGAAGTGGTAGCCAGGCGGGGGATGGCTTGTTCTCCCAGGGAACAAGCACTAAGACAAGAGGAAAGGGCGTCAAGTTGCGCCAGGGGAGATTCCGATTGGATCCTAGGAAAAATTCCTTCACCAAAAATCTTACCAAGTTTGGAAACAGACTGCCCAGGGAAAAGGCTGATTCACCATCCTTGGAGGCATTTAAAGGTCTGATGAGAAGCATGTATTTGGCAGAAAGGTTCTCACATGGAAGCACTTTCTGGCAGGCTGAATATCTTCCGCTCACCTCCCACCCATTTTGCACTGGATCATGGGAACTGTAGTCCAAAAGCATCACCTTCTCCTCCTCTTTAATGAGCTGTCTTCCCAGCCCAAACCTCCTTTCCCACCATACTCCAAAAGTCAGGCAGTTCCCATATGGCCAAACTGTGTTCCCACCCAATTTTAGTTATGGGATGGTTTTAGGATATGCAGTCTTCCAAAGTGCCCTGCCCCTAAGAAGGGGGTCCAGCTCTGCAAGGTGGCTCTGGAAGGTCAGATGAGGAAATAGTGTCAGATGATCTTAAGGTCTTTTAAAACTGAAATGTGTGATGTTCAGTGGCATGTTCTGGCTTGGAACTGTGACCAAAATGAAACAGCTAAATGTGACTCTGCCTAATGTAAATGAGAAATATTTTAGCATAAGGAAGATTTTGGGGGGGGGTTTGAGAACTCCATCTTCCAAAGAGAACTCGTTTGATGAGATATCCCTTGCTTAAGTCCAGCTTGCTTTGATTTTTTCCCTGTCCCCCACCCCCGTTCTGTGCCATGCTGGCAGTGCAGCTGCTGACTTGGGATGGAAACTGCTTTGCACCAGCAGTGCTCCTGATGAAATCCTTCCCCAAGGATGAAAGGACCTTTGCACAACTGCAATGGTCCAGAGCATCAGCACTTCAGTTCAGCGTTCTGCTGTGACTCTGCCCTTTGTGAAAAAATCTAACTCCTGAGCACTGAGGCTCGTTTTCAACCAGCCTGAACCAGTGGCTTTCAAGGGTGGCTGCCCAGCTATGCCAGCTGGGAATGCTCCTTTGCTTCTACATGTTTCCCCATGTCTCAGAGGCAGGAGTCTTTCTAGGCACACTGTAAAACCAGCTGTGAGGCGGACACAGACCCTACAGAATTTGACACTAAGCAACTGCTGAGTGCAGGGCTGTAAGGTATTTAACTTTCAGTCAGACGCAAATTAGGTTTATTAAATCTTGGCTGTGAAAACACTAAAAAAATGTAATGTTCATTGCACCAGACTCCACCCTCTAAATCAGGATCTCTGGAGACCCAGTCCCAACTTCCCCATTGCCTCTACATGCAGCAGTTTTGGTTGAACAAATGCAGCACTCTTCCCCAGAGTGGTGAGATAGGAACCCCCCTCTTCATTTCAGCTACATTCCCACTGGCAGACAGATTTTCAGCTCCCTCCTTTGGCCCAAAGCATCTGTGTGTGTTTGTGTTTTGTGACTTTGAAGAGAATGTAAAAGGACTTATTTTATTAACAGCCAACAGACACTTCAAAGCAAAAATGTGGTTGAGAAATTAATCATTCTGCACCTCTAAAGTGGGATTTATTATGACTCCAAAACTAACATAGAAATGAACCAAAAGCTAACTGCATGAATCACTCTTTTAAAATAAAGTCAGAACTTCAATGGAGGGTATGTGTACTGGTAAAATTAAATGCAGGGCCATCTAATTTTTTTTCATTTAAAGATAACATTGAAGTAACATGTTGGTCCTTAACATCTCAATGGACTGGGGAAAGTGTTTCCCTTTAGCAGAAAAGGTCTTGTCCGATAATACTTTCCCAGATTATTGAAAAGGTTTTGTTTCCCACTCTTCCTATTTTTTTTTTGGTCTAAAAAGCCAAATTAACTTCCTCTGAGGAAATGCCTTCTTTCTGTGTTTACCGGGGCAAAGCAGGCCATTGTCTGGGGAAAATGGCTCTAATAGGAATTTAAATGCAGGACAGGGCATTGACATTTGTTGAGTTGGGTAACAAGTGGGATGGAGTTTCACCCAAGAGGTGACATTCACAGATTCTTGGTGGATTTTTTTCCCCACAGTTTGGCAGCAGGAAAATGTGGCCAGCTCCAGGTGCAGCGTCAAGGGTGTATTTTAAATAACCACCACTGCCAGTTGCAGCTCTGGGAGCTGGTTCCCAGCAGTTCCTGGGAAGCAGATGAGACGCCCTCTGCCTGTTCCTGTGCCCGCAGCCTCCGTGATCACAAGCTGCCAGCAGAGAGAGCCCATTTCACAGGTAGGACTGTCACCACAGTAACCCTGCCATGTTTTCTCAGCCCATCTGATTGCTTCAGGGCCTGGTTGAGCAAGGATGCCACTTTCCTAGCTGTGTGGCCATGCAGTCTGCGTTGGCCTCAGTCCCTTTCAGCTCCTTCTACGTTACTGTCCCGGTGTTATAACTCTGTTTCATCCTGGGTTTTCCTCAAACTGTATAGTACCAAAAATCTCAGCAGGCAGAACAGCTTTGCCTTTTTCTGAATTATTTGTACACAAGATATGCTTTTCCCCAAGGGCTGGAACGGCTCAGCTTCCCATAATTAACCCTTGTCTAATGCACTCAAGTGTCTTGGAATACTTTTATTTTCTGCCCGCCTTGGCTTTAATTTCAAAAGCACAAAATCTCTGACTAAAAAATAAATGACAGCTTCGCACTGCAGGGATAAAGTGCCTGGGCAAAAATGCTGCAGTGATATGAAAGGGAAATTCAAATGTCAACATCAAATCCTTAGACACCTTTGAAAGAGTTTCCTGTTTTTCCAATCCTTTAGGGCCAGGCGGTGAGTTCATGCAGAGCTTGCTCAGAGCTGACTTACACGAGTAGGGCAGCTTGTGGTGGGGACGGCACGTATGCTAGAGGCACCTCTCTGCTGCAGACAGGCAGCTGAATTTACAGCAGAAACCCACCCAAAAGCAGGCTTCTTGCTTCAAATCCTCTGTCAAAATCGGGCAAGAGTGCCAAACACCTCAGCTTCCAGAGGGTGGAGCTGTCCTTCCTCGCACCATCATCCTGCCTGTTTAGGGAGACACTTGCAGGGCAGAGGGCTGCTCACTCATCGTGGTCAGAAAAAGGCTTAGAACCTTTTAGGTTGTAAAAGACCTCTAAGATCATCGAGTCCAACTGTTGCCCTGGCACCATCAAGTCCACCACAAAACCATGTGCCAAAGTGCCTTTTGAACACTTCCAGGGACGACTGCCCTTGGTCAGCCTGTTTCAATGCCTGACCATCCCTTCAGGGAATAAATTTTCCCTAATCTAAACTTCCCTGGTACAACTTGAGGCCATTTCCTCTGGTCATGTCACCTGTTACTGGGAGAAGAGACCAACCCCCACCTGGCTACAGCCTCCTTTCAGAGAGCTGTAGAGAGTGATAAGGTCACACCTGAGTCTCCTTTGCCTCAAGGCTAAACACCCTCAGCTCCCTCAGCCACTTCTCATCAGACATAGGCTCCAGACCCTTCCCCAGCTCCATTGCCCTTCTCTGAACATGCTCCAGCAACTCAATGTCTTTCTCATCACTAGGGACTCCAAACTGAACCCAAAATTCAGGGTGTACTTTGGTGCAGAGCTTGTTTTCACGTGATGGTCCTCCCCGAGCCCACAAAACACTGTGGTGTGTTTGCATGTGTTGCTGCTCTAGAGCTGGGCTGAGCAAAGATGGTGGTGTCAGCCCAAAGAGAGATTAAGTGATTGTGGAGGAATTTCTTTATCACCATCCTGTGTAAATAGAGATTAGAAACAGAACATTTTCCTTACAGCTGCGCTTCTGCAAACAGGAGAGAGTAAAGGGCCAGGCAGTATTACAGAGCCAGCTTCTAGTGTGTTGCTGCACAACCAAGAGGACATGGACTCACTGTAGCATCCAGGTAAGGTGAGGCTGGCATTGCCACTCTGCCTGTGGTGCATTCCTCCACTGGCAATGCCTTGTGGAGCAGTGAAGCACCAAGTCCACATCTCCAGGTTTGTGCTGGTCCCAGCCAAGCCTCACCCCAGCAGTGACCTGCTGCTTGCAAGGGCAGTGTCTGTCCTCCTGGTGAAGGTCTCTGTAGGCTGTGGAGTTGCAGGAGCCCTAGGGAGATCCCTGGAATACTTCCATCCCTGGAAGTGTTCAAGGCCAGGTTGGATGGGGCCCTGAGCAACCTGGTCTCGTGGAAATTATGGAACAAGATTGGAATTGCTTTCATTTGGAGTGGGTGGCTAATTCTGTGCACCAAGCCTTGAATTCTGATCAGAAGAGGTGACTTCTGCCTGATACAGGAGAGTATAAAGTGTAGTTTCCCATATTTCAGTGGCTGCCTCCTTCCTTGCAAGCAGGCCGTGGAAAGCATGCAGAGGGGAGTAAAAATAAAATAGCATTCATCACTGGTAATGAAAAACTAATCCTACCCCAAAAAAGAGATGAGTAGCATTTTC